GTGCTTCTGATATTCACAGTACTACCTGTGGGTGACATGCCAGAACTATTGTCCTTTACAACATGTGCTGACTGTATCAGTGCGCTGAGTATGGCGAGTCCATCCTGGAGAAAGGCAGTTTTATGAATTTGCGCAGTATCATGGATACTTTGAGTTTTATGTTAAGCCAATGCTGATATCTGGATTTGTGATTTAGTGACAGAGGTATGGGAATAGGAGGTAAAAGAGACTGGTGAGAGAGGTGAAACTTCTTCCATGTTTGAGGAGGCTTTCCTGAAGTGCTTTAGAGCCATGGGGGGAAAAAAAAGGTGGCACCTACACCACCGAAGCTAATTCTACAAAAATGTGTTCCAGCTCTGGGAAAAACGGTAGGATCTGAAGTCCTGGAGAGTTTGTCGTAAAGGCAGAACACCCATGCAGAGCTGATCTCTCATTGTCCTTATCTCTCTGGACCCACAGATATCAGTGTACAAGAGAAATCTTACATTGTTGTGGCAAAATAAAGTGTTTGCATGATAGATGGAGATCTGGTAGTGCGCGTACCCACCTTAAAGGAACAGAGGAGCGATGTTACGTTGAGTGTGTAGGAGTAGCCACAATGAACAGCACAGGCTACGAAAGTTTGAGCTTTGGGACACTCGTGTGCTGAGCCTAGAATCCGTATGGTGATTTGAGCATTAGTGTACATCTTTTAACTTGTTGCCTTAAAGGAGTGTTATTTGAGGATATGAAACTATAAAGCTACTGCTGGGATCAACTGTACCCTGACAAAAAGTTTATACCGAACAGAAAGTTGACTCCTATCACAAGAACTCTGTAAACAGAAATAAAGTAAGTTCATCAAAAGGAGGGGACTGATGTTGAAAGCTTAAGCTGAACATGAAGTTGTGTAAGCAGCAGAATAGCAAGAACACTTTGAAAAGCCTTTGACTGCTTATGAGGGTTGAGGGGAAGGAGAATGGTTCTTAAGTTTAATCAAGTTGTAGTATTTTGCCAACTGGAGTAAGGAAATGGTCTCTGAGTCTGCATCTTCCTTCCTTCCTTCACTCTACTTACATGTGCAGTAGGTTGTTGTGACTGCTCTGTAGAGGAAACAACAACTTGTTGGCCTTGGCACCTTGCTTGTAGCATGTATTTCAAGGTCACTTAGCTCTGTTTCTGTTGACTTTCACTGTACCAGGGAATCGAAGAGGACACATCACATTCAAATGTTTTGCTAAACTCCACATTTTTGCTATTAGTATAGCTGCTCAAATTCCAAATACTCAGGCTTTACAGTCTGTCTTCATTTGGGGGGATGTTTAGATACAGTATTTCAGAAGGACAGGGACTGAAATTTTAGAGGTCTGTTCAGGTAAACTTCTGCTGTCACAGAACTGGGCTGAAACAATTTCTCATGTAGGGTGGTCATTCAGTTGGGATGCAGCTGGAGCCAGATGGCATCAATAGCAGGTTCTCCTGCAGTTCTAAAGGGACATCAGTTTTGGAAGTAGAAACCAGGAACACCTCCTGAGGGTTATTTTAAGTGATTGTATTGGGCATTTGGACTTCTCTAGCTACTAGAAGTAAACTTGTTAAACAGCTTATGACAGTAGTGCTGCGCCTCTGAGCTGTTCTGGTGACTTTGGAAGTCTGAATGTGAGTAGTTAGCTTAGTCCTCTACACACTTACTTAATTGGCACCTTCCACAATGAAGTGCTGACATTTGAAGTATTCTTTCACTGTAAATCTACAGTTAGAATTTTTAAGTCAAGTCCTCCTTCTCTTCCTACATTGGTCAGAGCCCTAAATGCCCAGTGCACCTTGCTCTTTGCATGTTAATTATTGACTTGTGCTCTCTGAAGAAAGATATGCCAGCACATCTGAGAGAATGTGCTGGCAACTGCAGGAACCAGACATGGCCAAGTTGTGTATTAATTTGAAGTAACCAGACTGAAACAAACCTATTTGCATCTTGCTCTCTGCAGTGGTTTTAACTTACTTAGTGAAAGCAGGAGCTGGATGATTCACCAGCAGCCCTTAACCAGCATTACACAACTCTGCCCATTCAAACTTTTCTCTTAAGAAGGAGCTGAGAAAAAGCACCAAATCATCAGATCAAAACATTCAGAAACCAAGGATTATTTTTTCTGAAAGAACTCCAGTGCACATATGCTGTGGGAGACAAGAATGAACGAACTGAGAGGGTTCACCCCAGGATAATTGTGGAAACTAGGTAGGCAAAGCATGTGACACAAGTGTGACTGCTGCCTGTTGTAGAAGACCTAAACAGCTGAGAAACAAGAGTTGTTTGGTGTGCAATAACCAGTATAACAACACTGGTACAGTTAAATCTTTAGCACTGTACCACTCCAGAAGAGTCAGTAAATTATTTTAAAAGCAGGCTGCTTTTCATTTTTATGAAAGTACATGTTAGTGACACTAAGGTTTAGTTCTAGAAAACTGTAACTTCACCTATAGAGAAAAACTTGACCCCAAGAAGGGCTAGCAAGGAATAAAGTTTGCTTACAGTCTCTGTCCTGAATGTGTGATCTTTTATTCCTGTGTGGTTACTTGGCAAGGTTAGTTGAGCAAGAATACAGGAGAACCACCATGACTTTCAGATTCTTTAGGGCTCAGAGATGGCTGCAGAGGCACAGGCTTTCATGGTAAAGCTTTCTGAATTGAGAGTGCATGCGACTTGCTCCCACTGTATAGCAGGTGCTGCACCTGTATGCGTTCTTCAGTGTACTTGCATTGACCAATACTTGGAGCTGATACAACTGCTCAGAGCTGCGGTGGCTGTTTTGATCTAAGTGCCAGTCCTGGGCTACAGTGATAGAGAAATGGTTGCTGTCTGGAATGAAACAGCGAGGTTGAATTAAACCTTTTAGACTTCTTATCTACAGCCTGATCACCTGCAACTTTCCTGTTTTTCTTTTAAGTGGTATAATCCAAACCTACTGCTGTAAGCTATGAAAATAAAGCCCTTTTAAAGGAGGAAAAAAAACCCCAAACCAAACCCAAAACCTCTTTGTACTCTATCTTGTTACATAAAATGATGTGTTTTTACCGACTGCCAAAGTGGTAACTTTGGGGTGAACTTGGTGGGTGACCTTGACTGAGTCTGTTTTCCATTTTTACAGGGTTGGCGTGTTGGAGGACACTTTCACCTGTCTTGGCGTTTTGTGTGCCATTGTATTCTTTCCAATTGGGATTCTGTTCTGTCTTGCACTGAGGCAGAGAAGATGCCCTAATTGTGGGGCAGCTTTTGGCTGAGGGGCTGAATGTGGACATGCTTATGGAAGCTACAACTGTTAGCATACTCTTTCTAATGTAAATGTCATGTACAATCATTTTATTTGCTTCAGACCTGTTTTGTAAAGTGTGAAGAAATTTAGTCTCTCGCATGTAATTTAAACTTAAATCTTTTATGAGCATGTGCATTGCAAAACATGAAAACCCAACTTGTTTTCCATGTTTAATGGCACCTGTTGAAAACTAAATAAAACTGCTTTTCCTTTTGCAATCCTCAACTTGTGGCTGGATTATTAAGTATATGACTAGTGTGTCTGGTAACATGTAGTCTGAAAGTAGAGTTAGTAATCCTAGCTACAAAGAAGCATAAATGATAAAAGAAGGACATGGTTTAGGGCTGTACTTGTTCAAGCACATTGGCAGTTTTTGAGGAAAGTATTGCAAGTGTAGTGTGAGAGGAGGAGGTGGCATGAGTGGACTCTACCTCTGCAGCCATCACATGCTCATATATTATTTTTTGATATTAAGTAACTGAAAGGCATTTCACATGACTTGAATTCACTGTTTATAGTAGTAGAAGCAGGCACAACAAAATGAATATCCACGGGATACTGTAGGAAGCATGTACATATGTAAAGTAGAATGACTTAATATAAGGATTAATCACTGGCAGTAGTCACAGGACAGACTTCATGCAGCAGGTGGGAAATATCACCTGAACTGTACAATGATAAAGCACCCAACACTGATGCAGAGTGAAGAGTCAGTTTCTAACATTCTAGGCTAATATCTGAGGTAATTGTTACTATAGGAAAAGTCTTCCAGACAAGCTAGCTCCATTGGGTTTAGCAAATCTGAGCCTGATGTAACAAACTGTACAGCTCAGCTTGTGACTGAAGTTAAAAGCTGTGTTTCACATAACTCACTGTGCTGTGCCAGCATTTATGGCATCACTAGGCTCCTTCACCAAAAATTTTCAGACTTAATCTGTTTTTCTTTTGTGGAAGGCTGCAGTAATGGAGTAACTTCAAAGGCAGCTTTTTATATTATCATTTGAGGAAAAAATCATGACACTGTTTTATTACAACTTTTTATAAGACTGAAGTGTGACAATGTGTTTTAAAGAAAAAAATTACCACTGAAGAATGTATTGACAGTGCTACATGAGACTTAAAATGGGTTTGTTAACACTTGAAAACTTGTACCTGAACATTAAGCAAAGCATTACAAATTGTCTATTCTTAAAGGATAAATATTTATTTATAACCTAGGGTGTCTTTCTTAAACAAAATAATGTATAATCACTTTATACAGGCAATTCTCTATTCTGGAATAAGGCAGTTGTTACATTGTTCTGTTTGGGAAGAAAAAAATTAATCTTTTTCTTATTTAGTAAGTGGCATATGCAGGCTTATATTCTAGAACTTACCATTGCAGTTTCCAAATAATGAATGCTAAAGATTCAGATTTGAGAGCTATTATACTGCTTTACTAGAGTATCCAAACTATCTCCAGTATTTTCACAATTCCTACTACCAAAAAAAAGCATACTGTAATATCAAGCCAAAGTGCTCAAACATTAGCCCAAAGCAATTACCTCATTAGAAAGTATAGTTTAAAAAAAAAATCAGAAATCCATTCCAGTATGCTTCTACTGTACAGTAATTACATTTAAATAAATTTTTAGAACAAGTTTAGCTAGTAATTGTCATTATTGAAAATGGTGTTTATGAGGAGGAAGTACATGTGTATGGACCATATATTCATCGAATAATTGGTGCTGATCTGTCATTTGTTACTGTTGGTCTGAGTTTCACAGTTGCAAAAGGATTTTCTCCACTGAAAAGAAATGCACAAAGTTACTAGAAGGCTTGCTGCAATACAAAACCAAATTTATGCCATGCAGTTTCTTCATCCAAGTTGTTTGAAGACTAAGTTATGGTTTTAGACTAAAGGATTCTGTGCAACTCTTGGTTTACTTGAATTTTTAAAGCAAGCTTACATACGAATACTCACTTCGCAGTGATCCAAAATTTGGGAAGTTAATGCCCAGTTAGATCTGGATTTTTTTTTTTTTTTTTTAAAAAACAGCTCCTTCAGTCTTCAAACAGCTTCAAAGATTTTTGTTTTTAACCCTCATAGTTTAAGTCCTGCTCCCTGTCAGACTACTGGAGAAACACTTACTTTTCTGAGAAGGGCCTATGCATTGTATTTTACTTGATGCTACTCCTGAGAAAAGTGCAACCAACTTTAGCCATAATGTCTTATCAATGCCTAGGAAAGGTCATGGAGAAATTTGGGAAAAACATCCTTATTTCCCCTCACAATCAATACTATAATATAAGCCAATATAAAAATCAACACAACTAAATTTGTGTAAAAGCTTTAAAAAACATACCTTAGAAAAGGTGGTTTTATAATGCCATTCATATCAGGTTTCTGAAAAAGAAAAAGAAGATATTTACATAGATTTACAAAAACACACTACAGGTGATGTCACTAGCCTGCTAAGGAAGAGACCCTATCATTCAAGCAGGCTAAAATATTTAGCCATTTAGAATACTTAGGGTGTAGTTCAGTTGAAGCTGTGGAGGGGAGAATTATCTCAGAACATCAAAATTAGAAAGGTAAAAAATGGTGTTAGTATTATCTGTTTGTTTGGGGTTTTTTTGTGTCTGTGTGGTGTCCATTTAATGTCAGTGATCACCTGAGGTCTGGCTGGGCATTTTACAGGTTAAAATAGCAAATGAAATGTCACTGCAACAGCCATCAACCAAAAAAAAAAAAATGGACAGAACTACTTGCAGCACAAATACACCATACTGTTTCTATAGCATAATATAGTGTTATGTAGAGGGTGGGGTTTTTTTTGTTGGTTTTTTTTTTTTTTTTTTTTTTTTTTTAAATGCAACCTACTGTGTTTAGCTACTGTTGATTTACACAGTACAAGTTCAGGTATCTCCCGTGGCTTGTGGGAGTACTGGTGGTGAGTAAAAAAAAAAAAAAACAAAAAAACCAGCAAGGAAACAGCTGATGGCATGTACATATATAATTTGCACTGTTTGTATGGGAGTGATACAAAAGGAGGAGCAGTTTTGCATAGCTATTGCTAATATTTCATTATAATGAAACTGTCATGTTTAAGCGTACAATCTGAAGAGTCATTTTTATAGCTACAGTTTGCACTGTACTGTGAGGTACTTCATTCTTGTGAAGTTAAGCGAACCCAGAAGATGGCAGTGTCGCTCTGGCAGTGCTACTACAGGATGCAGTGTTTCAGGTGTGATAAAAGGGAAAACTCTTGCAAAGTACTACCCTTGGCAAGCCTGTCGTGCTATGTGGAAGTTCTGGCAAACAGTTAATTTCTACTCCCCTCCCCCCCCGCCTTTTAGTAATAATCATACTTAAAAATTACATATTTCAAACAGCAAACTAATTGCATTGCTTCTAATAGGTGTCAGATAAAGTTCAAAGTGAAAATTTGAATATACATTCTTGCACGCAGAAGCAGAAATATGCAGTCACCTTTTATGTAGCAGCTTGACTTGTAGTAACCATTCAATACTTAAAATTTTGCTGCTGAACAATGACCCGTAAGCCTTTCCTTTTCAGGTACACTATCTGTTGTACCAGCGGTTCCTAGCTACCATAGTCACAATACCACGATGCAGGTGAAAAAAATCTCCATTTTTTCAGGACCTAATTCAGCAGGGTTCTTAAGCACGTGCTTGACTTGTGATTACAATGAAATTGCTCATGTACATCAGTCATAAATAGAATTAGACCTTAGAATTAGGCCTAATTAGCCCTTAAAATTAATCAGAAAGAACAAATGCCTGACTTACGTGCTACTTCTTCCTGAACACCAACCCTATCAAAGCTCCATCAACTACTAAGTCATTTTTAGTTGATACTGTTCTGCATAATACTGTCCTACATAACCCAGCATGAGGAATTTAACTTGCAAGAACCATTCCTCATCTTTCCTCCTTGAAATCCTGAGCTATTTTTTCCTGTGTGTTCTGCAATAAAAATAAGATGCCTCAATGATTCATTTCCTGCTTCTGCATAAAAGACACTGTAAGTGTACTGTTTTACATGTATGTAAATTCTGTACAAGTCTACAAACCAGCCTGGTATAATGTTGAGCTTATTTCCAAAGCCTTGGAAATGGTGGTGTGGGGACTGGTGACTTGCACGGAAGCGGGAAGACAAGGAAGCCCTGCAGCTTTCCACAAGAATGAAAGTAAATAGTGACTTTGAAGCAAAACACTTGGTTTTAAGTGCAGCAACTCTCCTCTACAGTTCTCTTCCTTATTTTGTATGGTAACAGGTAAGAATAATCATGGGGTCACAGTAAAAATGTGGCTGCTATGAGTTATGGGGTACCTCAACAAGAGTAGTCATTATTTTATATTCCAGAATTCCTGATTTTTTTTTTTAAATCTTGCTCTCGCTGTGGAAATTTAGAATCTCAAAAAAGATGTATTTGTTTCCCACTCCTAAGAGGCTATAAGCCCATTCTGGCCTCCAAAGAGAATAGACTGCTCTAATTAGAATTCTGTCCGAGTGTCAACTAAATGATCTGGCATTCCTCTTGGTTTTTCAGTTCAACAAGAATGTTAGTCCACAAGCCTGAAGTTTATTCCTAAACCCCACAACTAATGCCACAGCGCAAACAAGACAGCCCTTTAAGGTGACTACTCTTGTGAGCCGACTGAGGACAGTTAGCCATACTACAGACAGCAGCACAGTGCAGTGACACTGAGACGATTTAACGGCTCCAGTAATTTTAAAGCTCTATAGTAAGTCACCTTCCACTTGTCACAGAACTCACTGTACTGCTTGCTTGGCAGCTCCCACCAGCTGATACATCTTTTAACTGTTGCAAACATAATTGCATTTGAAGGACACGTTGATCCCATAGGTCTCAACAGCTAGCCACAGAAAAAATGAACCAATGTATAAATCTGACATTACGTAATTGTTAAGGCTCATTGCTTCTTAATCCAAAAATGAAAACCCCAAATGTGTCAAAATATAGATGCTTGTCTTCATAATCATTTTAGAAGTTCCCAGATATTTGATTTGGAAGTGACTGAACACTAAAATTTAGATCTTATTTCTTGATATTCATTTCATGCATTGGAAAGGCTTTCTTCCTCATAGAAAAACATTGTCCTAGAAACATGACATTGCTGCACAAACTACACACCTCCTATTTCATTCCTGATAAATAAAACCACTTACTTGAATGTGGATTCAAATATGCTACATTCAAATATACAGATACTAATATTAGACTGTTCTGATGAAAAAAAAATCAGCTAATCTTTTAATAGCAATATTTAGAAAAAAAATATCCAAAACATTACTAGTCTAGTCTACATGGGGTAAGATCTCTAACTGAGGTGAGAGCTTCACAAGTCCCTGTCAAGCCATCCTTTTAGTTACGAAAGGCTCTTAGCTCTGCTTCTAGTTCTTCATGCATTTTAAGGATCACAGCTTTTTCTATAATGGGAAGCACTAGCCTTTTTTCCCCTTCCTGCCAGAGAAAAGATACTTTTTTGTTTCAATTTCTGCATCTGCAAGAGGTATTTTGGCAGTGGTTAGCAGAAGTGTGTCTCTCTTGTATCAATAGCCGTAGAGTCACTTTACAAAGCCAAGTACAACTGGAGGGAAGATTTCCGAAAGGCCTATACAGCCAAACCCCCAGCAATTTTTCCACATTTTTTGTATTTGTAAAGTTGAGATGATCTGTTCTTCTAAGAACTAGATAAAAGTCTATGATGTGATTACAAAAGTGACTTCTTTGAAGACACACTATTTACTCAAGAAAATGATACTAATTTCATTTCCTTTCCTCACATTTGTTAAAGTTCTGTCTTACTCCATGCTTCTGAAATGTAGGTAATAGTTCAAAATTCAGGTATTACTAACAACTGATGTAATTTGTGTCACACTTGTGTGTTTCCAATGGTAGCTTTTTCTAGAGTTTTAGAGTGATGTATTGGAAGTTATAGTTATATTTTTGTTATTATTAAGCAAATGTTTCTATGTTTACTTAAACACAGTTCATTCTCTTTGCTTGTCAGTATAACAAAGACCTGCTCACCACCTCCAATGCTCAAGACCTCTAAGTAAAAAATGTTGTAGATATACATGATATCCTAATAGTAGACTTAAATGAAACAGGAGAGGAGGCTTCTTAAGATGACCGTTGTTTCCTGATGCCTTTCCATTTTACAGGAGTACCGTTACAAGTATTCTGTCATCCTTTGAACTTAAATAGACTCTTTCACCGTTAATCAAAATGTGATGCAATAAACTTCCAGTTTCTACTTTTTAAGCTTCTTTACTTAATTTTACTTCCATAAAGTACAAATTTACAAAGGCCACTTCAATTTTACTGTATGATTCGACAGATTACTTAGAAAGCAAAAACATCCATCAGGACAACCCAAAATTTGTTTAGAAGTTACATTGATATACAAAATATTTTACTCATACCAATAAATAATAAAATGTGAATTTTTTAGCTACTGGCAGCCAACTATAGGATTCCTGACTTCCGAGAAGTTTGCTATGGTACCTATTAATGGAACTCTGCATCTTACTCTGGTACAGTGTCTCAATTTTAGCTGCGACAACTATAATATATTATCTTAAAATCACAGAAGGTTTTTTGCCATCAAAATGTGATCTCTGCTTCAAGAGGCTTTTTGAGGGAAGTCTCAAAAACATTTATCACCATTAGATACGCATTGGCAAAGTATTTGTTTAAACAAGCAGCAAGAAAAAGACCAGTAATTGCTTAATTTGATTAGATTAGTCTTCAGTTTGAATAATTGAATGCGGACTTAATAGCAGAAATACTAGCTTTATATAGCATTATCTATTAATAAAAATGTATTTCCACTCAGCTGTGGTTCTGCTGAACATAGATAGTTGTTAGTATATATATCCTTCAGCAACATCCACAAAAGCAACACTAACTTGCACGGGGTTGGGTAAAGCATTCCTGAATACAGAGTTTATGCTGTTTTAAATCCCCTGTCTCACTATAGCTCTAAAATCATTTAAGATGATGGATTTGTACTACTTTCCGTGAGAATTTCTTTTTGTTTCACATATTTCATTCCCAAGAAGTTTGCTATGCAGAGTAAGTCTCCTAGTACTCCTAGTTATATTTCTGAACAATTCTTCTTCCTTCCTATTACTACAGATGGATTGAAATGCCAAAAAACCATGATACTCCTGAGGACAGCTGCATCGAAGGGCTGCTGAAGTGAAGTATGAGTAGCTAAGGTAGAATATTCCAGGGCCTCATTTAAGAGCTCAACTAAGTAGGTCAACAAAAGTAAGTAGGGTAGAACATTTGGATTCATGGCATAGATTACTTACCGGACCTGCATTTTCTGGTCTGTCGGTTGGTGTTTTAACAGTAGTACCTTTGGAAGACTCCATTCTCTTATCTGTTGGCAAAGATCCCAGATAGTCTGGTGGTGGGAGGACAACATCACCTTTTTCCACAAGATTTACAGAACTAATACTTCGGATTGGTGCAGGGCTGCAAGACAGAACCCAATAAATAACATTTTCAGTTCCTATAACACATCTCTCGCTTATCTTTATCCCCAGGAAAGCACAAAAATGCACGAGCTGAAAGCTAACAAAGGCGTACAATCCCACTGAAGTCAGTGGGACCCTAAATTAAAGTTGGGGTGAAGCTAGTTTTTGCATCTTTGTGTAACCATTAACACATTAATGTAATCAAGGCAGCATACTACAGACTGTTAGAAGGTATTTACTATATATGTTACTGAAAAACAAAGAACATGAGCAGAAAAGTAACATTTTTAATAAGTGTTAGAGAAGATGTGGGCATTTCTGCAAGTCCCACCCAAAGCGTTACCTTGGCACTGGGACAAATGCTTTTTCTTCCACTGGTTCTTCTAGCGGTCTAGTATACGATGATGGAAACCATCCTTTTCTGTAATGGGAAAGTTTTTCAATTGCAATGACAGCCAGCAAAAAGGGTGGAAAACCATTTACTAATATCTGCTAACAAAATCTGATGTGACAGGTTTTTCCTTCATGTTCAAATTGGATAATATATTAATTATCTTACACTTTAGTTGTGTCATGTTCCCCGTAAAGCCAGCCATCCTTTTCTTCAGCTACAAGAAGTGTGATGATATCCCCCTGTGCAAAGCTGAGCAACGTCTTGTTACTTCCAGCAGTATGTGGGAAGATTGTCTTTACTTTTTGCTTTTTCATTATATTTAGTCCTGTGGCAACAGAAGTTGAACGCGATAAACTGGCATCACCTGAATTCTCTGTCAAAAAAAGAAAAACAAAGCAAAAAAAGCAAAATTAGCCACACACTAACAAAATTAAATACTATTAGTAGTCTGACAGGAAAAAAAAAAAAGTTGACACAGGAATACTCAAGCGCAAATCAAGTTCTGAGACTTTGTACTGCATTGGTTTCCACTCAGACACCTCTCAATTATCTGCTGATGTTTCTTATCATCGTGAAGTTCTTAATAGCATGTCCATTTATATACACCTATACATCCCCCCCACCACAATAAAGTTGAACCAACAGACGTAAGTTATGTAAATTTTAACTTGCTACTTCATTCCTCTTTTGGCATGAAAAATGCTAAGCGTTCACAGTCATAAAAGACCTCTGAAAATTTTCCATTCTAAAAAAGTGTAACTGTGTATAAAGCCCAAGATTTCATTTTCAAATGTGCCTAGCACTCAACTTCAGCTGAATCGATGAGAGTTGCAGATACTTGGCACTTTGCAGACACCAGATGTTTACCAAAAGCCAACGTAAAGGAGGTCTCAAAATTGTATGTTATTTGACCAGTACAGTATATTGTAAATGCATTTTTAAGGAAGAAATGCTGGAATTGCTATTATCATTTTGAAGAATTCTGCATTTCTTATGCTGCGATCTAGGCTTAGTTCTCTTCCTTCCTTCTCTATAGCAGAAAAAGTGTAAAAAAAAAAAAAATCAATATATTAGACAAACAATCTTAATAGGATTTTACATTTCAGGAAAGAAATGCAAGACGGTGCTCATTTTGCCCCATGTGCATTCCTCCCTAACTGCAACGTGCCCTTAAAGGAAACCAAAGCAAGACTGTAATAGTAGTTTACGTTTATTTGGGTGTACTGAAATAATCACTCGGATGTATCTTATTCAAAATTATAGAATGTATTCTTCTGATAAGATTGGAAGTCATAAGAGCAGTGAAGCTGGGTTAATCAGGGACACACAGAAAATGATTAACATAGAATGTACCCATCTTGACCTGCATTTTACTGCAAACAATTCTTCTCTTACAACACATATTTCTCCTGTTAGGTAACTTACATGAATACTTTGTAAAGACCATTTTCTACTCCTTTATACATCCTGCAATTCACATCATCATAGTAGTCAAGAAGTCCTAAGATAATTTCAAACACTACAGTATGTCATTTACACTTACATAGTTTGCAACAAAACAACACTCACCTGCTGAATTATTTAGTTTTTCAGAAGACGTCTTTGGAAACGTTGCAGGACTGTTAAACATATCAACTAGTGGACTAGTGTACGCCCTACCTGTAGGAGCAGGGGGCACCTTTGATGCATTTTCATGATGAGGATAAAAATCATTTCCAATCTAGAGTCACAAAAACAGTGTCACAATACTGAGGAGACAGTGACAACTTATTTGCAACATTAAATTCTAGAAAGCAGTGCTTAAATATTCCCAAATGATACATATTTAGACCTGTCAGAAAGTGCTCATATTCGTATAAAATTGCTGATAGAAGAGTTTGTAAGAGGCTTCTGTCCCTTGATAAACATTTGTTAGTGGGAATGCTATGATAGCCTTTTTTCCCCCACAAATAGCATAGTTACACCTAGGTAATCTCCAGTTTTTTTTTTTTTTTTTTTAAAAGTTTGCTAATATCATGTAGAAATTCAACAACTAATGGTGACACAACATATAGATAGGTAGAATTTAGAATTTAATCTGTACTCTAATAGGTTAATAAGAATCCTGGAGGGAAGGAGAAAACAAAATAGAAAGTAATATTTTATATGTAATTACTATTGCTTACAGGTAAGAACATAGGAAATGGAATGGTTAGAACAAAAGTAGTCCTGAGGCTGGGCTCTGCAGAAAAAACCCTAGGCACCCAACTGAAAAAACTGAGCCTTGTTTGGATATGTGCTTCTGCCTACTGTACTGTGTATTTTTCCAGTAGCAGAGCTTCAGCTCAATGATTTTGTTTTCATACCCAACCCCAGTATATTCCAGCTGAGGTACATCATAGACTCAACCCCAAATGCTTAGGTACAGAAGAAGCTAGTGAAGCCACTCTACTCCCATTTAAGAGAGAAAACCTTTAACCATTAAAGAACAACGTACCACGGTATTTCTCTCTATCATTGGTGAAGGCTGTGGAGTTCCTGATACTGGAGTGGAACCAGGTGTCCTTATTTCATCTATCATCATTTTGACTTTTTCAGGCACTTTGGTGGCATCGCTACAGATTTCCTGCCAGCCAGGCAGCTTGGATTTTAGGAAGTCCGCACACTGCATCCAGGTTTAAAAAGTACTTGTCAAAGATATGCTTTTTCATAAAATTGCACAGATCTACTTGTTAATTTTTATTATACCAAAATGATAACACCAGCAAAATGGAAGTCTTCTCAAAGACTTTTTTAATACCTCTTTGAAACAAATAATATGTTGTAGCAAGAGATTGTCCCTTTTCAGGGTCAGATACTGGAAATACCTGATCAGTCCATACATTTTTCTCTTAATGTATGACTTTTAAAAAGTCACAGTAACCCTTTATTGTTGCTACAGTACTTTTAAGAGAATATTGCATTGTAAACATTTTCTGTGAAATGATCATAACACTTGTCTGGCACTACAGTGTTCCTAAGTGCTATCTTAGCTATTTATGGCAGTCTGGCCTCCTATATGATTAGATTTCAGGAGTTTCATTTCTGTTTACACTCATGCCACTGACCTGAATGTGATAGAAGTGGATGTGCTGGGTAAAGCTGCAGTGCTTGTCAACCAGAAAGCAGAATCTTCTTTTTTCTTCAAGGAGAGCTTCTCTGCAGCCTTCTGCAATGAATCGCTGAATATCACTCTGTCGAGAGCTCACGGTTTCCAAATACTAAGGAAAAAAGAAAAAAAAAAAAAATCACATAAACAGTATCTGAGTTTTATTTGATACTACTGAAGCAAACTCCAAAAGCCTTAGAAAGAGTTTTTGGAAAGGCAGGTGGGGTAGGGTGGCTCTAATTGCAAGTCTTCCTCTTTTCATGCACACACCTAACTTCCCTAATCTCATCAGGTAAATGTATATTCTTATTACAGGCAATCAATAATCTGTTGGGGGGCGGGAAGTGAAGCAAAACAAGAAACAGTCTTTTAGCCTCTGAATAAAATGCTGCAGTAAATAAGAATATGACATCAAAGCAGCAACTGTGCTGAGCAATTTTAAGGCCACAGGTGTTCTAATTAGACTAATTAACCTTCATCTGCTCCACAGCAGTTACATTTACTCTCAGAAAGCTATGATGAATCTCTACTTCATTTTAGAGAGAGGAAAATGAGTTACTAAAAAGACTAAACTATATTTGTCTGAGGTTATGAGGATTCATGACTAAACTGTGATTGTTAATCCTTGAATTCTCAGTCCAATACCTAAAAAAAACCCAACAAACTGTTATGAATGCAGGTTAAAAGATAGGTATTAAGAAATAGGAGCTAGTACTATTTATGTTTACTGTACTGTTATAAACAAAGCTTCCTTTGAAAAGAAAATTAAAGTAGAAAATGGAGGAAAAACCCCATATAAGCTAGCACAAAATAAAAGTATTGTGCAAATAAAAATATCAATGGCAAGTATTTTCTGAGAGATATATGACAAGCAGAATATGACTCACTAAAAAGTTTCTCTTCATTGCCTTGCCATTTCTTATGTCACCTCAAGATGGCAATGCTGTTTTAAGATCGGTAGGAAAGGTACTAAAAGTGCTAACAGAAGTTGGCATTTGCCTACTTCAGGAAATTAATTTATAGCAAATAACTACTGAATTTGCATAGTATAGCTGACTCCCTATGTAAACCTCTGCATAAAGCTGTAGTTACAGAGATACTTTAAAAAAAAAAAAAAATTAAGTAGTGGTCAAGGGATGAAACCTAGAAACTGAAGCAGAAGTCTCTGAATATGTACAGCAGAGCAGTCCAGAGCTTAATTTCAACTGGAATACATACTCTAGGAGTGCCTTTAATATAAACCAACTTTGAGGAACCAAAAATGCATGTTCTTTGAAATTGTAGTTTATCTGTTGCCAAACAACTTAAGAGGAGTTACATGTATTAACTTATAACATTGCATATACAAAAACTGTGGTAAGCCTCAGAAGTCAAGTTTTAAAACAGACTCAGATGTGACCTGTAATAGCTCAACATTTTCTGTTGATCAGTTCTCATACAACAAAAGAAACAAATAACTTAAGAGACAATACACTGACCTCCATTTCTTTATGCTCGTATTTCATTACATTTCGTGCTCCTTGGCTTTTCCTTCTGATTTTTTTCAGCTCAGCCTGAGACTTCTCTAAAGAATCTAATTTGCTTCTGTGTTCAGTTTGGTACCTCTTTAACGTTGCCTGCAATCAAAGCATTTAAAACATCTCATAATACACTCAGCAACGTAACTGGGTAACTGACTAAAAAGCATGCCCATAATCGAGGAGATATCACTAATACACATCAAATGAGTTAGGTAATTGCCTTTCTCAGCTTTAGTTCAAAAATGCTATTAAGTTACACATTGGTTCCCTTTTTAACTCAAAATAAGCATGAAAATTTTTGTCATGTTTATGTATCTAAAGCTCAGGTTTAACATTGATTAATTAACTGTTCAGAAACAATTTCTGAAAAATTCTTTGACTTGCAATAGATAAAGAAAATATGACTTTTAGAATTGAATGTACTTACATTCATATATTTTACATCCAAGTCTGTTTTCTTCTCCAGTTCAGATATAATTTCTTTATGAAATGTTTTGAACTTTAAAAGCAAATGAATGAAGGGTTATTAAAAATCATCAAAAGTAATTTCTAATTTCAAAAGGAAAATAAATTAAAAAAGAATTTTTTAACTTACACTCTCCTCTAGACTGTCATTAAGTTTCTTGTGTGTTCTTGAAATTTCTATGAGAACTTGGCCTGTTGATAAACATACAACCATATTTGTTTCTTTCATAGAGTTCTGAAGTTAGTTAGACAGCAGTAATAAAATATATTTACTGATATATTTACTAAGTAGAATATATTTAAGAGGGATAGGAATTTTCTTGCTGTTGCTTGCCACAGCAGTTTAAATAACTAACTAGATCTGGCTACAGACAAACCAAGAAGCCCATAAGTTATACAAGAATAATTAATCATGTATTATTATGCAAAAGGGAGATGGAGTGCCAGACAAAATAAATACTTCCTTCTCTCCAGAATAGCTCATATTGATTTAGTAACAGCCTGTTTTCTTGCCAAGTCAGAGAACAGCACACAAGAGCTAGAGATAGTTGTTACTATCAAGATAGCTGCTATCCATTTAGTCTGAAAATTAAACTTTAATGTTTATTAACTAACTGCACCTTCAGAATTAACAAAGTAACCTTTCACATTCATTCACAGCACACCTGCTAAAACAGATCTGATACATATGCTGACTAATCCCCCATGCTGTTTTATCGGCGATTGCAGCCTGACTGTACGGCACTAGCTAACAGCCAAGCAGCAGCAGATCTCAGCATCCTCTCAACAGATCCTAAATGTGCCTGTTATGCTGTGCTGTCTTCCAGCACAAAGTTACACAGTTTACTCTTAAGTGCAAGCAGTTAAAAGCTGGACTGCTTCATTTTGCTTTAGGAGGGTATAGAGGAAAAACACCTCCATCCTTTGGGTGTGGTTCTGTGTCCAAACCAATGTAAACTGTGCCTGGTGTGGTCCTGCCCTGTATGCGGACAGCCACATCATCCTGCTCTGGATACAGATGGCCACATCATCCCCGCTCCCTTCTTTGTGCTGGCGCTGACAGACTCCCTGCCTTGTCCGGGAGATTGCAACATACTGCTGAAAAGAGTAGTTGGAAGTGTCCTGAAGTGCCCAGTTTGACTTCACCCAAATTAGACCCGTAGACCGTTACCAGGTCTCCACCTCAGCCTTTACAAAAAACTGAAAGTGCCAGGGCCACGATCAGATTCCCAAACTGTGTTGCATCTGAAAGTCGTGACTAAGAGATGTGTTTTACTGTCGTTCCATTTCCATGGCAAGAACAGCAGGTTTGGTTCACTGGCATGCCTCCTGCAGTAATCTATTCCTCAATCAACCTTGCAGTTATCCCACCGTGAAGTCTTTGCTTGCAGTATTAAACCTGCAATAGTGCTGTCCTAATATACAGGCAGGCCTTACAAAGCTACACACAATTCTGTAATTCTGATTACATAGCACTGGCAGAGTCACTGCATGGGACTGCTCTGTATATCCTCTCCTATTTCTTATCTTACACAATTCTCAGTTTCCTTTTTTCAAAGAAAGAAAAAAAAGGATGCATTAACTGTTCAACATGCTGCTTTACAAATCTTGTTTTCTACCATCCATATTCTTTGAGAACCCCTCCTGAGTTAGTCAGCAAAGACTTATGATCCTATAATGCTTCAGATCCTCCAGGTGCACACAAAAGCTCCTAAAAGGTGCAGGTAATGAAAAAAATTTGGCTAAATAAAATGAATGACAGAATTTTTCATGAGATCCTTCTCATTTTCTCCTGTCTCAACATCTCCCCAGCCATCAAAACCAGTCTCCTCATAATGCATGTTAGTGATTTGGTATCCTTCCCACATAACATAGATGCATTCCCATAGTGCCTGGGTATGTATTATCACCTTTCTCCCTTCTAATCTGTCATTCTCAAATTACAACATCTCAAAATTTTAGTTTCTTTGAAATGAGAACCGTACCTCCTGTCCCGTGAAGCAATATGACACAGCAGATCTTTAACTAAATAATGTAAAATGTGGGTCTGCATTATTGTTTATGGGGAAACATGAGGTGGTTCAGGAAGAAAAACATGCATGTCTCCTGACTTTCCAGGAATCCCTCTTCATGCCCCAATCCCCCAACCTCTATGTCTCTTTGCACATCAGGCTACAGGAGACTTGGAAGAAGGATTCAGAATACAATGAGAACAGTCAAACCCTTGATTAGCAAGAAAAAGTAATTCGCGCTCAGGATGGTAGATGGGAGAGGCAGAGGGGTGCCTACCGAGTGCTATGCTTTCTTTGTATTTAAAAGTTGCTGGTGACTACAGAAATATAAATACTGTGAGAAGTGAGATGTGCTATAGTAATTAGTTGCTCATATGCAATAGAAAAGTAAATACAATGTAGTTACATAAACACTTGAAGTAATGGACATGAGTAAGCCACCTTGTTATTTTAAGGCCATAGAAGTGAATGCACTTTAGTCCATAGTGTTTCTGTTTCACTGAACTCAACTGAAAAGATACAATTTAGACTGTAACGGGCCTTAAAATTAGAAGAGTTTCATAAATACCTATCCGCAACTTAAAAAGGAAAACAGTGTTAAAAGAAATCAGGAAAAAATAATAAAGAAATACTAATAAAATTACAAAGTTAGTTTGGTTTTAAATATGCAGGCTAGAAAGCTATTTGAGAAGTTACAGAAATTCAGGGTGAGTGTTGAAATGGCCCTCAGAATAACTGCCCTTATAGATTTTTGTTCCTTTTAAAATGAACTTATTCTCCCTCTTTGTAAAAAGTACGTTCTGAGAATCTGCTGCCAAAGCAGCACACTTAGCTAATACTTGGCAACGCTAAGGCAGCCAGCCCTAGCGTTCCAAGTACTGAGAGACATCCAACAACGTCGGGTATTGACTCAGCTCTCGCATCGCTCTTTCACCCTCCCTTCCTCTGGCCTGCCCTGCCACCACAGTGTAAACGCTCAATAAAACAACCCATTCACCTGGTGTGTCAAGAATGGAAAACCTGACGCTCAGAGGTTGTTATTTTTGTCTCACACAGCACTTGAACTGACTGCAGCCTTCAAGTCTTTCAGCTTTGAATGCTTGGTTAGAAACAGGTTTTTTCATCTTTATTTCAAAGAATACTGCCAAAACATGTCCCGAAACAAAGAGAACTTTAAAAACTACACTTCCTTCTAAATGGTTTGTGCTGGATTATTTTACGAGTTTATTTTAGAGTGTTCTAGAACACTTTTAAATAGTATTTTTAAATATCAGTGACTGTATCTCTGATTGCATTTTCTTTTTCTCTCAACCAAAGATTCCCTGTATGCTGTGCATCAGGCAAAAGCCATTTTATGCTGGAATCTCCTTACTGCCACCGGTAATCCACAGGCACTGTATGTACTGGCTCACCCATTTAATTTCCTCTTTCAAAATGTTGATTCAAAACATGAAAAGAACCCATAGTAAGTACACTCTGACCTATTAAGATTTAAATTATAGTTTAAATTATAGGTCAGATTCTCCACTTTGAATAAATAGAGAACATTTTTACAGTGAACATATACCATGTTTTTTTATTGCCAGTTTAAGATAATGGGTTAGCTGCATTTTGATGGCCCTCCCAAATAAGATTTATACAAAGAGATAAGTTTTTTGTGAAACACTGACTCAGGAAAGGCAAAACAACCCCTAGCCTACATGTAACAGTGTCCAAGTGGAATGGAAATTGAACAACTTCAAGACAATATTTTGATTTTAATTACAATGGTGAATTATAGAATAGCTCTAAAGACGATGGGTTACTCTGGATTAATAACAGCATAACCTAAGGCCAGGTTCTAGTGTTCAGTAATTATTCATCTTGTAAAAAGGTACAGAAAACTACTTAAGGTGAAGACAAACATGTATTTCTCACATCAACTAAAAAAATACTTTGCTACGTATCAAAGCTGCTCATGATCAGGTTTTATATATGAGAGCTCGTAATACACAATAACCAAATATTAACCTTGTCATCATTTACTGGCAAACCTGAAACCTATCAAACATAATGACATGACTAGAGTGCATGGTAACAGACCACTTAAATCCAATTTGCAGCAGACATACTGTAAACTTGAACCAGTTTTAGGCATCATATTATGCAATGAATTAATAAACCAAAACTACCGGTCTTGATGATAAACATAACTATTAAAATACTTGCCTTTCAAAGATACTTTTTTCTGCTTTCTAGTCCCCCACAACCTGAATGTGAAAGCTTCGTGACTAAAAGACTAGAGGCACATTAGATATTCCCACATTTGTTTTAGAAAACAAAAATGTAGTTGTAAATGTTTATAGATACTTGTTCTGTTATTTTGCTATTACCTTATAAGTGCACTACAGGGAAGAGAAGAAACCATCTCTTTCAGATAGGGATTCTGGGGGAACATCTCATATACCTTAAATAACTTAAAAATAAACCAAACATTTCTCATATATGGTTCTTGAAACCATGCTGTGTAATACAGCTATAATCTGAAATATGACCATGAATAGTAATGCCAAGTTGCATGGTAAATTTATTTTAGTTTCAAATAGGTTCCATGCACAGGTAGAAAGATCTTTTAAGCTGAAACTTCAGGAATTTGTGGAATATTTTTAGGCTTAACCAAAGCTGTTGGTTTTATCTATATTCTTTATTGACACAGTCAGATAGACTAGAATTCCATTCATGCTGTTGGTTTTGTTACTCCCCCTCCCACTCCCAAATTACTAACCGAGAATGTGTAACAGTTATTTCTCCATACACAGCATCCCATGAGCAAGAAGACATCCTTAAAGACTGTCTTCACAGTAGATGAAAAACAAGGAAAGCAATTTGTAACACATATACTCATTGTAAGACCAGAATACAGGACTTCTGCAGCAGTTACACTTCAGCCTCACTGTTTGCATTGGCTGATTGTACTGGTTATTTATCTTTTTAGCATATGTTGACTGTTCTTACGAATAGAAGACTAGAAAAATTAGTTCAACTTAGAAACAAAAGAAGAACTCAATCAATAGAGTTCTGTCATAGAAACAACTATTTCATAAACATTGGTTTACAACTTAAACTTTTAAAATACTAACTAGCTATATTAGAATCAATAAAAGTATTAATTGCATCACCTTACTTGAAATATACTTCAAT